GATCACCTTTAGTAGTGTTCATATATTCACAACATTAAGTCTTCCTATCCATTAGTTTGATGTGTTCTTCCATTTACGTAACTCTCTTTTGGTTTCTTGTAGTTTTTTTGTACTACATTTGTTTTTCTGGTTATGTTTATTCCTAAATATTTAATCTTTGGGTGACTATTGTAAGTGGAGTTATTTTCTAATTTCCTTTTAAGAGCTCTGTTAGTGTAAAGCAGTGGTTATCAACCTTCCTAATGCCATCACCCTTTAATACAGTTCCTCATGTTGTGGTGACCCTCCAACCATGACATTATTTTCATTATGAATTGGATGACCCCTGTGAAAGGGGTCATGACCCACAGGTTGAGAACCACTGTTACACTGTAAAGGATTCCATCTGAATCTTTCAATTAGTTCCCAATATTATCTTGCTGAGGCTCTGGGATTTTCCATGTACAGGATTACATCATCTGCAAACAGATAGAGTTTTACTTCTTCCTTGCAAATTGAAATGCTTTTAATTTTCCTTTCTCGTTTTATAGCTCTGGCTAAGATTTGCAGCACAGTATGGAAAAGGGGTACTGATAAAGGGTTTCTTTGTCTGGTTCCTATTCATTAGGTGAAAGCTTTCAGTTTTTCTCCATTGACAGCCATGCTGGCCACTAACAGTGTCTATACTCTAAATTATGTTGAGGAATTTTCCTTCTATTTCTGTTTTCTTGTGTGTATGTTATCACAAATGGGTGTGGAATTTTGTCAAATGCCTTCTCTGCTTTAAAAAATATGATCATATGGTTGTTTTCCTGTGTTTTATTTACATAGTGAATCCCATTGATTATTTTTGAACCATCCTTGCACCTGGTATAAATCCCACTTGGCCATGATTTATATATATATATTCGGATTTTATTGGCTACAATTAGTTTATTATGTTTTATAACAGAACATTTTTCAGAATACCTAATATAGAATATTCTTTTCTTCTCATTCCATCATCATTATGAATGCTATATTCAGGCCTTATCTTTCACCTTACATATTACAATGGTATCATAATTCTCCTTCTCCTTCTATTTCTTTTTTTCCCCTATCTCTATTTCTTCTACACTGCAATTAGAGTTTATTTTAGAAAATATAAATTTGAGGATATCAACTGGACTTCTTCAGTTTTCCTCTATTTTTTATGTCTGTATAATAAGATTCAATGTCATTTGCAATTGGACCCTAAACTTCTTTTCTAATCTAAAATTCTACCACTTTTTTTGTGTGTGCCCCTTTTGTGATCAAGCCAGGCCTGACTTCTTGATATTTCTGGAAAAAAATACATATTATCAAATACATATTATATTATCATATAAAATACATATTATACTATATGTATCTATAGTATCATGCCTCAGTGTCTGTTCAACAGCCCCTTTCTGCCTCCTCACCTGTTGAAACGCTCTTTGAGGTACAGCACACGTGCCAGATTGCTGAACCTTCTCAATTCTACAGTCAGAATTCAGTTAGCTCTTCTTTGTGTTCCACATTCCTCTCCTCAACAAATAATGACCGAGTGCCTACTATGTACTAACTTGTGAAGTAAAATCGTGAGCATTAAATACATTCCTCCTATTCTGGTGGGGTTTAGCGTCAAGAGGGTGGTAATACTCAATCAAAGCTGTAAGAGAAAGAGGACATAATGGCTCCAGAGCAAAAGAATGTAGCCCCCTGAGAGTTATGAGAGACACACCTGACCTACACCCAAATGGGAGCTATGGAAGTCTTATGAAGAATTTACTGTTTGAGAAGAAATTTGAACTTCTGAAAAAGAAAGAGTGTCTGGCAATGCATTTGTGATAAGAGAGGGGAGCTCAATGGAAGGCAGGTTGAAGCATGGTGGTAAAGAGGAGGTGATGGGAGCATACTCGGTGGTTAGGCAGGGAATAGAACATACTTGGCCTTATAAGTTATAATTCAGATTTCAGAATTTACCTTAACACAATTCAAGGCCAATGGGAAAATGTAAGTGGCCAGTGCTTGAGTAGCTGGATGCTACATGACCACATTTGCTTTTAAAAATATCAATCTGGTTGTGGTGGGAACAGGGAGAACTGGGTGAATTTGAGAGAAACATAGTTGTGTTAGTCTGGGTAGCCTAGAGAAACAAATTCATAGACACATATATGTATAACAAAGAGCTTTTATCCAAGATGTGAATGCAACATACCAGCATGAAGCAGGGAATCAGTGGAGAGGTCTAAGAGGCCGGCCCCAATCCCAACTATGTGGACAGTCACCCTCCTCACAGAAGAATTTATTTCAAAGGACAGCACTGAAGCTAGAACTCGGGGAGAGGGACATGTCTGATCAGAGCACATGGGAGCAAATGAAGGGGGAGGAAGAGAGAGTGGTGCACATCCTGGCCCACCAAGCCTTGGGGACGATAACCCTGCTCAGAGCAGCCAATCCACCGAGGACCATATGGCCAGCCCCACTGCTAGACACGACATCTGTCAACAGCCGATAGCCCTACAGGGGACAACACTGGAGACACAGTGTGGGGATTGCGCCTGATCTGACCCCACCACACTGAGGCAAAACACTAAGGGCATGCAACAGAACAACAAGGGGAGCAGAGCAAGGAAGTCCCCAGGGAATACCAAAAATAGACTTTGGGGCCAGGGTCTGGCATGCCATAAGACTTGACCAGAAAACACTCCTAAAGGTCAACAAACAGACCTGGAACTATTTACAGGCTTTTCTTTCTTTCTTCTTCTTCTTCTTTTTGTCATTGTTTTGTTATTGTTGTTGTTGCTGTGTTGTTTTGTTTTGGTATGTCTTATTTTTGTGCATATTTCTTTGCAGGTCTATCTAAATAAGATAGGCAGGATAAACAATCTGGAGGAGAAAACAACAGGACCGATGGTTCTGAGGAGATATGGGAGAGGGGTAGGTGGGAGAAAGGAAGTGGTGGTAACAAACCCAAGGACAAGGGAACAACAAGTGATCCAAATCGATGGTGAGGAGGGTGTGGGAGGCCTGGTAGGGCTTGATCAAGGGCAATGTAACTGAGAGGAATTACTGAAACCCAAATGAAGGCTGAGCATGATAGTGGGACAAGAGGAAAGTAAAAGGAAATAGAGGAAAGAACTAGGAAGCAAAGGGCATTTATAGAGGTCTCAATATAAGCATGTACATATGTAAATATATTTACATATGAGGATGGGGAAATGTGCATATATTTATAGGTTTGGTATTAAGGTAGCAGAAGGACATTGGTGTCCCTGAGATAGTTATCTAGTGTCTCCAGACCCATTGACTCTATCCTTCAAGGTATTTAGCAGAACCTTATATGTGATTGTTATTTTTATATATTTTCCCAATGCACAAACACTCCAACAAAGGATTAGTGACTACTTAATGAATGAGAACCTTTGTGAAATTTTTTCTAATAGGAGAATACATGAAAAAGGATAAGTCAATATTTGCATGATCTCCAGTAGTTTTGTAAGCCCTTTATGATCCCTAGAATTATTCAAATCTCAGTGTCTAAACTGTTGGACATTAGAACCATTTCATGTTCATTTTACAATGTGCTAATGAAACAGTGTCCAGCAAATGTGCTTAGTAAGCATTTGTCAAATGAATAAATAAATGATTGGCTGAGTGAATGTTTGCCTTCAATATTTCAAAGCTTGCTACAAATAGAAATTCACAATCACTTTTCAAATGTTCAATAAGGTAGTAAAATTTACCACAAAGTCTAGTTCTTGGTAGGCCCAACATTGGTTGGCATTCCTAAATGTCCAATATTAAAGTGATGCAAATCCAAGTTTACTAAAAACAAAGGAAGATTTAAGCCAATGATATAAAAACATAAAAAGATGGACAGATGAAAAGAACACAACCCAGTAACAAAAGGAATGGAGATGTCTTTAATTAATCTCTTGTAATCAAGTACAACTTAGAAAAACATTGTTATATTACTCATTACATTTCTCATTAATCTGACTTTCCAAAGGCACGTTGGATTACACAGAGAAGTGAACACACCTTTATGAAAATTATTTTGTCTCTTCTCCACCCAATAATAAATGCATGTTTACTCTGGACAGCATACAAAAATATTCAAGAAAATTACTGACTTTTAATTTTTGTATAAGGAAAAGTCTTGAATTGCATAAATACTTGCAAGACTCTTTTAATTAGTCTTTAACTTTTGAGGTAAGGTCGTACAGAGTTCTTCTTAAAAGCCGTATTAAAACTATGAACCCTCTTCTTAAACAAATTCATATATGTTAAAATGCATAAAATGTACATACCTGTAGGGAATGTAATGTTTGAGACCCCTTAATATACTGCCTATGTCATCAGGGACCCTCAGGTTAAGATCTCACAGTCAGAGGGTCTTATAATGTAATGTTGATATTATTATGACCTATAATAATACAGGTATATGTGTATTATTACACTTTGTTAATTATAGTATAGAATCAAGGAATCTTTCCTTTATGAAAAGAAGGATATACCTAATGACCTGGGAGTTCTTTTTTCTTTTTCTTTGTGAATAGCTTTTTAATTACTAATTCAATCTCTTTACTTGTTTTTTTTAATCGTTTTATTAGGGGCTCATACAACTCTTATCACAATCCATACATACAACAATTGTGTAAAGCACATTTGTACGTTCATTGCCTTCATCATTCTCAAAATATTTGCTTTCCACGTAAGCCCCCAGCATCAGGTCCTCATTTTTTCCCCTCCCTCCCCGCTCCCTCATGAGCCCTTGATGATTTATAAATTATTATTTTGTCATATCTTGCCCTGTCCGACGTCTCCCTTCACCCACCCCTCTGTTGTCTGTCCCCCAAAGAGAAGGTCACATGTAGATCCTTGTAATCGGTTCTCCACTTGGGAATTCTTTAGAGGGTCCGGAACCCCGTCATTTGGTGACATTCATGAGCGTGAGAACGTGAGTGACAGTGGAGCTGGCTTAGACACAAGACGAGGGAGTGAGTGCCTTCAGCTCACCTCACTGGTTTCTTATTGAAAGTCTTGGCAAGGAAAAGATGGCACAAACCGTCTGCTACCACTTTCTTAAGCATGTCCTTCAAAACCTCCTTAACTTGCCCGTTGCGCAAGGCGTAGATGAAGGGGTTCAACAGAGGTGTCACAAACGTCGTCACCACGGTCACTGCCCAGTTCGTCTCCACAGAGCCGCTCTGTGACGGTCGTACATAGAGGAAGATGGCACTTCCGTAGAAGAGGGTCACCACCATCAGGTGGGAGGTACAGGTGGAAAAGGCTTTGTGACGGCCGGAAGCAGAGGGGATGCGGAGGACAGCCAGGACTATGTGGCCGTACGATGCCGCAGTAACCACCAGAGAGGACACGATCACCAGGGAGGCCAGAATGAAATCCGTCTGCTCCAGCCCCTTGGTGCTGGTGCATGCCAGGCGGAGCAGTGGGCCACTGTCACAGAAAAAGTGCCGCACCACCGGATCGCGCCCACAGAACGGGAGCAGGGCCACAGCCACGGTGGGCCCGAGCACAGGCAGGAGTCCCCCCACCCAGCAGGCCAAAGCTACCCGAAAGCACACGTCCCCGCTCATGAGCAAGGGGTAGCGCAGAGGGTGACAGATGGCTAGGTAGCGGTCCACAGACATGACCGCCAACAGCAGGAACTCGGAGGCCCCAAGAAAGAAATAGAAATAGAATTGGGTAATGCAGGCGGCGAAGGAAATGGTGTGTTGGCTGAACAGGAAATTGCTCAGCATCTTGGGAATGATGACTGAAGTCAAGAGGATCTCCAGGCAGGACAAGTTCCCCAGAAAGAAGTACATGGGGGTCTGCAGGCGGGCATCAGCCCCAACCACGCCCACAATCAACACATTCCCCGTGAGAGTCAGCAGGTAGACCAGAAGAAATACAGAAAACAATTCTGCTTTCGTGCTGTTGAGGGTCGGGAAGCCAGCTAAGATGAACTCCGTCACACCACTGGTCTGGTTCTCCCCCGGGCCCATTCTCTTCCTCACCTGGGCAACAATGGCAACAGTTTTCTTCATCCGAGCCAGTTCTTCCAGAACCACCCTGTAACTTAATTGATCGTGATATGGCCTCTACATAGCCCCTTTTTCCAATCACAGATTCTAGTAAGAGTTGAAGCACGGGAGGGCATATTCCGATTTTAGAGCTAGAGAAGACTTTCGATAAAAGGCAGCTAAAACATAGGTCTGAACATGCCAGGAACCACCATCTCCACGTGTCTTGTTTTCAGATCTTTAATGGTAACACTTCATTGTTATCACATAAATATTACCTGGTAGCATAATATGATTTATATCACAGGTGTCCCTGAATCGTGCATGTGGGAAATAGTAACATATGTGATGTATAATCTAAAATTTGACAACAATTAAAAAAAAGTTATCACCGAGCATCTGAGTTGGAAAAAAATATCAGGAATAAAAGTCGATTTGCGAAGATGGTTATCCTCATTCATCCAGGATCAGAACGTGAGTCAGACTTTGGATTTCAGCATCTCCAAGCTGGGTAGCTTGGGAAAAGTTACTTACCCTCTCGGTGCTTCTTATTTGTAAAATTCTATAAGCAGTGAGTGGAAATAAAAAGGCAAAGAATTTTAAAGAGTTTCCACCACATAATCGGCGGTCAATAAATGTTAGTTGGCAAATAAGGCGGCAGAGAGAACTTCAGGGTGACACGCTTACATGCTCTTGTCTTGGATCTGCCTCCACCCTTGGAAAACAGTCAAGAAAGCCAGTACCTGTTTGCCTTTCCATTGCCAAGTTGGGATCTAGACCGTTAGTATGCCTGTTGAATAAAATTCTCCTTTTCATGAAGCATTTCTCCAGCAAGTTAAGGCTATAACGGAACTTGATCTGTCACAAAATGTTTGCCTTTTTAAAGAAAGATGTGATGTGGGTAAAAAAAAGAAATATACTATATTGATTCACCAAGTCAGTCCATGTTCACATCTTCACTGAGTGCCAACTTCAAGCTCAGGATTCTGGGGAATATTAAGCTGAATCTCTTGAGCATTTTCAGCCCATGATATTTACTCTGCTGAAATACCAATCTGAGCTACTTCACAAACTCAGATTGTGTTATATGATTTACCAGAGACAGAATTATGAATTCCAGGCTAAGCTCACTGCTGTCCTCAGAAATGAAGTTCATACCTGTTGACTGGAGTCCTTCCATTTGTGAGACACTGTACCTACTTCAAAGAACCCAATTACTGATATTTTGAAACTCTGTCTCAAAGAAATGCCTCAGCTACTGGAACACTGACCCCCTTTACCCAGGCAAAGCATGAGAGTTAACTTTAGAGAGCCTTGGTTTTCTCTCAACCCTATCATTCCCAACAATCTTTGTTCTTGATCAGCCTTAAGCTCTTGGCTCACAGTTTCTCACTGTTGGGATCCCATCTGAAAATATGGAAATGTTTGTATCATTTCTCTAGGATGAAGAAGTTCCCTGGTCACTCTTTCTCGGCATTTATTCAGTCTGACTCCCTCCAGCATCTGCAGAAATTGCCGCATCAGCTTTTAGTTAGTGCATATGATGTACCAGGTGCTGTATCGATAACTCTGAGATAAGGGAAACATTGCCTGTACCCTCACATACTTCGCTGCCTAATGAGAATGATGAAAAAAATTAACATGTGAGAGGGGGAATGTTGTAGGTAAGCATGGAGTGAGGAAGAGGCACAAAGGACAAAGGACCAAACAGATTTAGAGAGACAGAAAGGATGTGGAGGACATTAAATGTCTCAAGTAAATATTAAAAGGTAAGTAGGGATTTACCGGGAGGTGAGGAGGTTTTCGATGGCGAAAGAGCAGCCTAGTCCGTTTGGACTGACACAGATACACGGGATGGAGTGGTAAGATGGGATGGAGGTGTGAAGGGGAGCTGATATCAAGGAGTTCAAGAAGAAAGAAACTCTTTTGAAACTGATTGTGGTAGCAATTGTACAACACTCATTGATGTAATTAAACTATGCAGTGTTATGATATCTGTAAGAGCTTCCAATAAAATGATTAATTTTGTAAAAAAAAGGGCTTTTTTCAACCCTCTGTATGAACACATTTCCAGTAAACTGAACCAAAAGTTTATCTTAAACAGAGAAAGATGTGCCCCAGCCCTAAATATGAAAGAAATTCCTCCTACCTACTCCTGAATACCTTTAATATTTCCAAGTAGGTGAAAGGGAAGAAGACAAGAATGCTCTCCCGTTCGATGATTCAATGTCATGCCCCTTCCTGGAGTTATTTCCATACTCTGCACTGTGAGGTTGTGACAATACTCTGGCATCTTTGGGGTTCCTAATGATGGGCAAAACACCTGGGAATATAGGGCACAGTTGAATAATCTGATTCTTCTCTGTGCTGTCCTCCCGGGCCTAATTCCTCAGGTGCTCCTCTTCTCCTTGGTAAACAAGCTATTCGTTCTGATCCCATGAAGCCTGAATCATCCTGCCCCTTCTCGTAGCTCTGAGCAGGTCCACCATCAGGGCGCCGCCTCTTTAGAAAGAGCATCTTTGACAATGCCGGGGGTGATTTAGGCAGGTGCAGGCCCGACTCAATGAAGGACAATTATCTCAAAATGTTCCCAAATCAGGGCAAGGGGGCAAATATGGAGGGAATTTGCCATTCTTTTCATATCTAGGGAAAAAAACTTACTGCAACACACTTACCTATAGTTCCTTTATCCTCTGATGGTTGAAAGATATTCCTTTAAAGCCACGCCTTCACTTTTTGCTGATGGGTTTTATGTACAAGTTATACATGTTCCTGTTTTAGATTCCATGCTCCCTGGCTCCCGGCATGTTCCTAAGCTCAAGGAAGAATGTGGTGGAAGAAGGCATTCCTTTCTAACCAATCCCTGTATGGAAGGGTAGACTGCTTCAAGTGTCTAACACAGATACCCCCAAATAACCGGGATCTAGTCATGAGAAGTCCAGCGAGGAAAGTGACCCAGGTGGCGAGAAGATGAGACTGAAAGAGAAAATAACTTCTAAAGGACCTAGGAGAGATTGGTAATCCAGTGGAAATTCTCGAGCCCCCATGCCTGACAAATATGAACAGGGGGTGACACTTCATTCAATGAGGGATGTCTAGGAATGCTTCTATCTTTATTTGTCAACCACCCAAAACCACACAGCTACACAAGTGCAGGGACACAAAAGAGGAGAATGAGGGAATATTGGAGTCTGGCCAGCTGTGGGAGGTCATGACCATGATCCAGCTTTCTCCTGCATTGCACTTGGGGGAAATGTTTACATCCCAAGAAACACAGGCATTACAACTCATCCCCGAGGACTACAAATGATATTGGGACTCCCTCACCTGGCTTCTGGGCTTTGCAGTAATGGGAGTCCCAATAGTGTGATAAGATAGAAGATTCTCTACATCATATTTAACTTTTTCTAGTGACTCTCCCACCACGGTACTTTATGCTCTATTAATAGCATACATGATTCCACGTTTCCAAGACATGCTTGGAATATTGCACCCATGTTTATGTTTTCCTTTTTGTATCTACCCCAGGCCCTGACAAGAGGTGACCTACTGCTACTCATGTTCCAAGACCCAACATAACCTTGCGCATATCAGTTCTTCTAAGAGGCTCCCTTGATTTCAATTCCACCACCTTGCCTACCTTTCCATCTGAACCCTGGCAGGTTCTACTAGTCTCGATCTCAACGCTGAATATTTTGTATTGCAATTCTCTGCTTTCTTGTTGGGATCCCCTGCCAGACCATGAACTACTACAGCAGTAGTTCTTCCCCTCTGCATTCCGGGCACCCAGCACTGTGCTCAGTACATACGGTGTTAAGGGCTTCATCATTGGTCTGTTCAGAATGACCTAAGTGAGGGGGCCATACTCTTGGGGGACAAACACCAGTCAAGACTCAGTGAGAGGAAGAGGACACAGGACCCTCTGGACTGCTATTGGGTTGTATTCCATCCTCTCTGGAGCAAAGAAAATGGATAAAAGAAGGCTTGGGTGCGGCATGGAAAGAGTCATGACTTTGGATTCTGAGGAAGAGGAATAGCAGAGCCTAGAAGAACATTCAGGTTGGCTAAGCTAATGAAAGCAAAATTAAGCTACAAACGGAAGCTGTTCCTTGTCGAGGGAAGGAGCCTAAGTAAGGAGGAAACAAAGAGATCTGGGGACTAACAAAGCATATTTGAATTGTAGATTAATTAAACAATAAGGATTTAAGGTCACATAGCTAGAAATAGATCAAAGTCAAGTAATTTTTGAAAATCACATAATTTGTCCAATTAATGACAGTGTTAGTATTCAGCTAGGCATATTTTCAAACCAACTTGATCACTGTAACTTTCTGGGTTTTGCATGAAAGCAAAATGTATTAGAAAAAGAGGTTTTCTTTATTTTTAAAACATTCTCAAATAATGAAAGAACTCAAGAAAAATTCAAGCCTCAAATGGCAGTATTAAGAGATTCTTTGGGAAAATATTGAATAATGCAGAAAGCATCAACAGAAAACAGAAAGTGCACAAAGTCTCTCTACCAAAAAGAACTAGTGGACAGTCCACTATTTCAGGAGTTAGCATATGAACAAGAACCAATGGTATTGAAGGAAGGATTTTAAACTGACCTAGGAATTAACCAAAAACAAACTCCAAAAATTGATGGAATACCAACTGAAACGTTTCAACAAGCCTATGAAGCACTGGCAGTCTATGCCAGGAAATCTGGAAGACAGCTACTTGGCCAACTGACTGGAAGAGACTCATAGTTGTACCCATTCCAAAGCCAGGTGGCCCAACGGAATGCTTCAATTATAGAGCAATGTCCCTAGTATCACATGCAAGTACAATTTTGCTGAAGATTGTGGGTTAAGAAGCAGTTATGCAAAAAAAGAAAGAAAGAGTGGAGGGAGGATGGGGTGGAAAGGGGGAAATGATTACAGGGATCTACATATAACCTCCTCCCTGGGGGACGGACAACAGAAAAGTGAGTAAAGAGAGAT